CCAGCAGTGCAGGCACCGAACCTGGGAGACAAAAGTAAAGAAATCACTTTAAAGACAAACGAATTGAAATGCTGCATGGCCAGCGGAAATGGGCGGACACCAGCAGTGACAGAAAGGGCGGACACATCTTAAGAAAGAATTGAGAACCCCTAACAGTAGACTGGTTTTGCCTCCAGGTCCACAAGCTGCACTGTTTGGGGAAAAAGTTCAGCAAGACATACAAAACCCTACTGAAGCAATTGAAAAGCCTTTTGAGACTGCGCCTCACAAAACCTAGGTTTTGAGCTATTGTATTGCTTCAATTGTTCAGACCAGGCCGGCAAAGGTTTAGAGGGACTACAACAAAACAATGTTTGAGACAAAATGAATGCAAAACAAAGAACAGATCCAAATCCTATAGTACCGTCATTTTGTCTCGAACATTGTTGTTTTTGCTTTAGGTGTTTTGTTCTTTTGTGTTTTTTTGTATTTGTTGTTGAGATGTTGTTTTTTGTTTTTTGGTTTTGTATTTTGTTGTTTTTTGTATTCCCTCTAAACCTTTCTCGACCTGGTCTGAACAATTGAAGCAAAACGCTGAGGTTTCAGCCAAAAACCAGTGTGAAACACAGTGTTTTTGTTCATACTTTGCATTAACAACAAAGCATTGAAACAAAATTTGGCTCCAAAACCTGTGTTGGTGATGTTTCAGCCAAAAACCACTGTAAAACACACATGTGTTTGCACATTTTCTGCAAGAAACACCTCTGTCAGGAGCACCCGTTCTGAAAAAACTGTGTGCAAACAGCAAATTGGAGATAAACAATAAAAGACCACCAAAACCAACAAATACACAACAACACAGTAACTATAACTATACAGAGTATTCAAGCACATTCAAGCAGAATTCCATGGGATACCTGCGCAGGTATCGCATAGATCGGCACAGCCATATACTGCAAGTGTTGATGGCTTGATGCTCCCGATAGTGTGGATACGTGAACAACTCTAGGTTACTTGCACCCTTAGATATTGCTGCTTATGGCTTCAATCAACAGAAGTTTTGGGTGTCTCTGGATAACAACGTGCCTTCAAAATGCATGTCAGTTCAGCAATCTCTAGCTTTCTATTCTGAAATCATGAAATCCTTGAACTTGTGCAGCGTACATGCAAATAAACCAAAGTGGATGACTGAAAAATGATGGAAAACGCATCCTCTCATGAACTGGCCTGGGCGTGGACAATTCAAACAATTACAATGATTCGGATGCGACGAACGTCTGTGCTGATTGGAAGCTTATCATTTTTAAACAATGATACTTGAGGCCGAGGGTAGGTGACGAAAGCTAGCAGGGGTGCATCCGGACTGGTGGGACATCAAGCGGAGTGAGGCAAATGCTCATGAGGTAAAACGTTGTGAAGATGTAAGACATACAAACAGCAATGACACAGCCAACCTTAGAATTGAAGTCCCCGATAATTAAGGAAGCGTGGCTGGACTTTGCCACACTGTTCGATGCATCCGATGTGTTCACGAACCTGTGAGCTTGTTGAATCTGTTGCACCGTATCCATCCGTATCCCAAAACCTCCACGGAGGAGTTGAACCAGTGTGGATGCCATAAGAGGTGCCCAAGAGGTGTCCCAGAGGCAAAACAAAGCTGCTTGCATGATTTGTTTGGTTTCTTCTATCGATGTCGATGTCATGAACATGTGAGCTTGTTGAATCTGCTGTTGGATCGTCATGTATATGTAACGAGGGACTGAAGAAAAGCAACGCAGCATCATGAGCATCACGGGAAGTCACAAACCAGGCGTATCAGATACACCTGGTTTATGTATGTTTGTTTGAGCATCTTTGTCGAGTGAAGTGTCAGCCATATGCACTGAGATGCCGAAGGAAGCTCAAAGGCATGTGTATCTGATATGCCTGGTTTCTGACTTCCCGTGATGCTCATCATTGAAGCCTTGAACCCTCGCCTAAATTTCATGTTTCATGCCCCCCCCTTCCAAACTCAAACAGTGGCCTACTTCACCTGCCACCTAAACATAGCACTATAGCACGTACCGGAAGCGTCCCAGGGGGGC